CTGTGGCTCCGTCCGTGCCGGGGCCGCCCGGGGAGCCGCCCCCCAAATGGTGCTGCCAAAGGGGCCCCGCCTGGGCCAAGCTCTGGGCCCTTCCTCGGAGGGGGCTCAGCTTTCTCTTTAAAATACTTTTATTGATTTCAGAGAGAAAGGGAGTGAGAGATAGAAACAACGAAAGAGAGAATCTTTAACCTGCTGCCTCCTGCACACCCCCTACTGGGGATTGAGCCCGAAACCCAGGCATCTGCCCTGAACGGGAATTGAACTGTGACCTCCTGGTTCATAGGTCGATGCTCAACCCCTGAGCCACCCGGCTGGGCGGGACTGAGCTTTCCTGCTGGGACTCCCCAAGTTCAGGCCTCCCTGGGGCCTCTCCCACCTCCGGAGCCTCATCCTCTGCTCTGGGCCGTTAATGAAAAGGCAGGAGGAAGCGAGACATCACAGGTCCCAGGCACATCTCACACCCTGGGTGAGCCCAGGTCCTACACACCCAGCACCAGGCCTCGGCCACACAACCTGACCCGCGTGTGTGTGCATATGTGTATGCACATGCGTGTGCATGCACACGTGTGCGCATGTGTGTACGTGCATGTATGTGTGCACGTGTGTGCGTGCACGTGTGTGTGTGACCAACTCGAAGACGCTGGCCCGAGGGGGCCTCCTGCAGCAGGGCCCCCAGAGGCCCTGTCGCCCCTCAGGCCTCCCTCCCTCTCCGAGAGTGGCAGGACCCCGTCCACACTGGCACTCAGCTCGGCCCCCACCCCTGCCTGTGACCTCTAGCCAACAAAGAGGCCCTGAGGCCGGGCGTGAGCACTGGGCTCCCTCCCGCACGGCTGCCCGCCACCTGGGCCTGCGACAAGGCCACTCCATTCGCCTGGCTCTCCCAGGTCAGCCACGGCCAGATCAAGGCCACCGACAGAGGACAGGGGCCACGGGGCCCTCCGATGCCTGCTGACCATCCAGGGGCCTCGGCTCCTGACCATCCAGGGGCCACGCAGGGCGGTTCGGACAGGAGGCCCCAGCCTCTGACCGGCTCACATCTGGCGCTGACATGGGACACGCTGACCATCAAACTTCTCGCTCACACAGATGGCGGGGGGAGCGGGGGAGGGGGGCAGAGCCTGGAGGTGGTGGGTGGCCCTGGAGGAAGCCGGTGCCAGGGGTGGATGGCTGCAGGGAAGGACCCAGGCCTAGTCCCCAGGGCACAGCTGACTCCTGGGCTGGTCATTGGCCTGCAGAGCCCCCATGGATTTCCGGCCCTGGGAGGTGGGGGGGGGGGGGGCACAGAGCACGCGGCTCCTAGGACTGTCCAGCTGGGCCCGGCCGGGCCAAGGTGCAGTCTGTGCGCCCACAGTGCCCTCTGCTGGGGGTAGGGGGCAGTGCGGGCCCCACTGCCCAGCAGGAAAGCGGAGGCCAGCAGGAACTTTCTGGGAGCTGCTCAACATGCAGACCAGCGGGTGAGAGCAACATCAGGGACGGGCATGTGTCATCCTATGAAACGCTACCAACGAGGCCCTCACACTCTGTGGTCCCACTGTGTGCACTCGTGTGCGCCGTGCCCTCCACGCGTCAGTGTGGCCCCGAGTGGGCAGCGTGGCCCAGAGTGGGCAGCGGAGGGAGGGCTCTCTGTCTCCCACGTGATGGAGAGGGCGGGGCAGAAGGAGCGGGAGGCTGGCCAGGGGGGGCCCAATGCCCAGCCGTCACCGCTCTCCCCAGTCACCCAACCTGCTGGGTGAGACGCCGGAGCCTTCGCCTTTTCTCTCTGCGTGACGCACCCACTCAAATCCGTCCTGGGACTCGGACCCGGTGCCAAAGCCACGGTCTGCTGGGA